CAGGCAGTACTCTCCCTCACCTCAAGTGGGCGTCTGAAAGCCAAAATTAAATTTGTGCTGCACTCTTCTCCAGACTTTGATTTGTTTACAGCTGTTGACATTGAATCTAGATTCACGCCATAAACCATAGCTGTCTGAGTTGTTAACATTTATAAAACAATTTGATTAAATTTAAATACAAAGCCTAACTTTAACTAGTTTATAATCTGGAAATTTAAGACTTAATGATTTTAAGATTGTATGAATCAACATTTAACATTTGGGCAAAGTTAAACCTTAAAGTACAATTGTTTGTGATGGCTGTAACAATACAGAGTTGTTAAGAGGCAAAATTTAAATCTAAATAAAAGTTCCAGGTTATTCAAAATTTAAAGTAAAATTTAAGGTTGTTAATAATCTAAGATGCTGAGACAAAAACCTTCAGTCTGTCTCAGCTCATTTATAAATGACAGTGGAGATTAAAGAGCAACGTTGACAGGATTTTATTCCTCTGAGCTGAGAGGTGGTGAACATCAACACCTCTGAGTCTCACCTTCATTTTCCTCCTCTTCTTTTCTGTCACTTTTTCTTTTTCGGTTGTTTATTCACCAGCTTTTAAACCGTTGAATTGTGCCTTTGTGTCCCGGCCCGCTGCTCCATTATTCTGACACTGCTTTTCTAAGATCTAATCTAGACAAAATGAATGTTCAAAGTCTGGTCCTGGAGCCAGTGGTTGAACTCGTTTTTGGAGTTTTATAACCTGTGAGTCGTTTGTTTATATAAAGACCTTTTATTGCTACTGTTAAATATCTTTTGCGGGTATTTTTGGATGACGTCTACTGCACTTAGCTCAGATTTTAGCCAGTTTGGCTAAAGCAAAGCTAATTGTATACTTGGCTATTATTCAGCTAAATCTAATTGTATACTTGGCTATTATTCGGCTACATTTTTTCCACTGGATTTTTTCAGCTGTTTGGCTAATAGCATTTTTTTGTTGATATAATTTTGCGCTAACTTCTGCTTTTTGAGTGATTTTCTTTTTGTAATTTTCAACTATTTTCCTGCTTTTCTGACAAGCTAACAAATTTCCTGTCAAAATGTTCTTTAATTGACTTGAACTTTCTAACGTTATGTAGCTATCAATTTCTCTAGTTTGGGATCAATAACATTTAATCTAATGTGATAGTAAACAAACTATCATTTAATCTTTGGAACAACTCATGAGTGCATTAGGAAACGTAGATTTATAACAATGAATTGTTGAATGCTGAATTGTAACATTTTTTTGAAAATTTTCCAAAAAGTGTATTTGTGCTTAGTTTAAATTTAAACATATTAAACAGTTATGTTTGTTCTTGCTCCCCTTGGTGATGGGTTAAAAGCAGAGGCTCAGTGTTGTTGTATCCCCGTGGTACAATGACAATACAGACCATAAAATAAAATAAATAAAGTGCAGAGAAGTCAGCTGGAGCGGCAGGCAGTACTCTGTCTCACCTCAAGGGGCGTCTGAAGGTCAAAATTAAATTTGTGCTGCACTCGTCTCTATATTTTAATTTGTTTACAGTAAATTTGAATTGCTTAGACACAGGAAGGCTGCTCTGTCTAAAGAAACGTGTGGATATGTTTGTGTTGGTGTCAGTGGAATTGAAAGAGGAATGTTGATGAGATATGAAGCATTACCAGGTGATGCTGTTGGATGAATAGTGAAATAAGAAATAAGAGTCAGTGCCTCACCAGCTGTGAACCTCACTGCACATCACGTTTTTTTTTTAGCAATTATTATGTATTAAAACATTATCACATTCATGAATGGACAATTTTCATGTTTTGTGAAATTAACTGTTTTTGGTCAAAGTTTTAGAACTGCTTTTAATTCTCGTATTTTTGTCCACAGGTTTTGGACAGTCTGGAGTTCAGATGCTGTGTTTTCGTCGAGGTTTAGACGTTTCCATGGTGTGTCTTTTCACCGTCATTACTCGTCTGTGAGGTAGGACCAAAACCCATCATCTCTTTAAAGTTGTCATGTGTTGGATGTTGTAGCTGTTGACATTGAATCTAGATTCACGCCATAAACCATAGCTGTCTGAGTTGTTAACATTTATAAAACAATTTGATTAAATTTAAATACAAAGCCTAACTTTAACTAGTTTATAATCTGGAAATTTAAGACTTAATGATTTTAAGATTGTATGAATCAACATTTAACATTTGGGCAAAGGTTGAAGTTAAACCTAAGTACAATTAATTGAGGCACAATATAAATCTAAATAAAAGTTCCAGGTTATTTAAATTTAAAGTAAAATTTAAGGTTGTTAATAAGCTAAGATGCTGAAACAAAAACCGTCAGTCTGTCTCAGCTCATCTATAAATGACAGTGGAGATTAAAGAGCAACGTTGACAGGATTTTATTCCTCTGAGCTGAGAGGTGGTGAACATCAACACCTCTGAGTCTCACCTTCATTTTCCTCCTCTTCTTTTCTGTCACTTTTTCTTTTTCGGT